GTTTAGCTTCTGAAATTTCATTTTTATTTTTAGACAATAATATTATTTTTGTTAAAGCTTTTAAAATATTTAGAAATTTAAATCGAATAGGAGAAATAGCTTGATGGCATGATGACCACCTGGTAGAGCAAACTTTTTTAAGTGTTACTCCACCAACTGGTAAAATGTCARTTAAAATTTTCCAGCGTTTTCCACTTAACGCAAAATAAACATATAGTTTTTGTATAATGGCAAAAAAAATTTGAATTTCAATTGAGGCAGTCATAGTAATATCATTTAAAACCAAGTTCAAATTATGGGCGTTACAGTGAATATACTCTGCAAGAAATGAGCTTTTATTTTTGTTTGGACACCGTTATTTTCGTTTCGTATTTTAGATCAAATTTTTTTCTACGTAAATATAATTTTTAAAAAAAATGTTCAGTATTTTTTTTTTTATGTAATATTGTTTTACGTCTTTTAAAAAATCTCATTTACACTCATACTAGTACTTAACTCCTTATTTATAAATCCTTACTTAAACCCATGTGGACATATGGACTGCAATTATGGGGAAACGCAAAAAAGTCCAATCTAAACAAAATACAAACTTTCCAAAAYCTAGCGCTTCGTAAATTATTAAATGCCCCTCCCTATGTATCTAATCATACTATTCATTCABATTTAAAAATGCCTCTAGTGCATGATGAAGCAAAAATTTATTATAAACGTTTCCACCACCACTTATTATCTCACCCCAATCCCCTCGTTAGAAATCTCTCTACCCCAAATATCCCCGGAAACCCTCCAAGAAGGTTAAAACGTAAATGGTGCCGTGACTTGCTTATATAAATCAAGTACTAAATAATTAAGTATACTAAAAAAAAAAAAAAAAAAAAAAAAAAAAAAACGAGCGAGAGTGTCATTAATGGGTGGCTGCTCTCATCAAACGTAACATGTATACTATATAATTTATTGTAAACTCTTTTTACTATTAATATTAATTGTTTTGATACCTTATATATTTTCTGTTTCACATTTACTCATTGTGCCTAAGGTATAGATCGTAAATTTCTTTAAAAAAAAAATTTTAAAAAAAAATGTAATATTGTAATAACAAAGGTCCTGTGGCCCCCGACTTCGACACACCTAGGGGGCCCCGGCCTAAATACGCCCCTGGTTTTATCATTGATTGTACTATTAATTATTTTTATAATCAATGGTTTTAATAAACATAAGGCAATGACCTGTACCGTCGTACCTATTCTATATTTTAAAATGTTCTCATAAAATAAACTCATAATTATTGATTTCTGTACGTAAATGTTTAATTGGAAACCATTCTGTAACTTCTAAGTTGAAGATTATAGAATTTTTTTGTTAGACACCAAAAACACCTTACKAAAAATCGGTCAGAAACAAAAAATCTTGAAAATAACATAATAATTATTAATTATATTTAAAAAAAAAAAACATTGTCACAAAAAATTAGTCACTTCGTCCAGAATCTATTGATTTTTAGTATTATATTCTAAGATTAAATATTGAAGTACCTACAATAAGTGAATAAATTCTTAAGCCAACATAATTAGTTAATAGTTWGCCAAAATAAATTTGAATAAAAAAAATATAGGCACAAAGAAGGAAACAAGATAAATGATTTTCATATATTTAATTTTGTACAACCTCTTTGCGTCTCRGAAACATCAAACAGCTGATGTTATCATCGTGTTATCACTTATCAGCAAAAGCTAAATTATTTTGATGAAATATGGCATTGCACTATCGGTTACTGGTTAGCTTTAGTTGAAAAAACGTGTTCTTTTTAGTTACTATAAAATTTAATAAGTTCGGYCAAAATTCTCATTAAATTGTTTGATATAAAATGTCAAAATTGACCAAGTTTTTCGTCGGGAATCTGCCGTGGACAGTCAGCAGCCGAGAACTCCGTAAATATTTTGCATCATTCGGCCACGTTGCTACCGCAGACGTATTGTTCGACCACTCTACTGGTTTGTCGAAGGGATACGGATTTGTTCAGTTTTCTACACCAGGTGGATACGAAAGCGTTTTAAACAATGACAAACATGAATTAGAGGGGCAAACATTGATTCTTAAAAAAGCTGATTATCAATAATCATTGTCTCTTACAAGCAAAATTCCTTTTTTTTTATATATATATATAATATACCTATTAGTGTATAATATAGTTTAAGTAATGGATTTTAATTTTGAAGATTTATCTGCTCAGTTTGATAAAGCCGTCTCTTTTATTTCTGGATCTAATTTATCTGATGTTGACACACAGCTTAGATTGTATGGATTTTATAAGCAAGCGATAGAAGGTGTATGTACTCTACCAAAACCTCCAATATATGATATGAAAGGTCGTAAGAAGTGGTATGCCTGGTCAGAAATGGGTTCAATGTCTAAAAACGAAGCTATGGCTTCATACATAAATTTAGTGAGGACTATAAATCCAAACATAGAAACAGAAAAAACCTCGGAAAAAACTGGATGGGTGACGGTAAGTACATTTGCCAATGATGAAGAACCTCTGTCGGAAAACGAAAAAACTATTAGTGATTGGGTTAAAGAAGGAGACTTAGACAAAATAAAGACTTTTATAGGTAATATAAATATTCATGATTGTATGGGAATGGCACCGATTCACTGGGCTTCAGATCGTGGTGATTTGGACATTTTGAAATGTTTAGTAGAAAATCATTCAGCTGATGTTAATTTTCAAGATAATACGGGCCAAACAGCTTTACATTACGCTGTATCTTGTAGTCACGAAGAGATATGCAAATATTTGGTTATTGCTGGTGCAAGAATAAATATTCAAGACGAGGATGGAATTACTGCCCTAGACATGTGTTCGGATGAAAAATTAAAATCATTATTGTCAATAAATTAAATCTATGTCTATACACAGTTCAATGTATATAATTCTAATCACAAAATGTTAAAACAAAATTAAATATTATTGTATGTAAGAACAAAATGTAGTATGTGTTATGTAATATTTTTTAAAATAAATAAATAAAAAACATTTTTTTAATTTTTTTATTTTCATTAAATAAATAACAATTGATAATAAATAATTTCAAAAATTATGACCTCAATATGAGAAATTATAAAAAGGTCAATTAAGTTACATAATATAAATATATAATTAAAATAAAATACACGTATTGGTACAAACCACAAAATTTCCCATTTTGTATGTATCTTGCCTACACTTAAGATAATTATAATATTAGGTGTCAATGTTAGTTATTTATTTAATAATAATACCCCTAAAGTGAAAAATACTACTAAACATTTTATGAATAACACTTATAAAAATTCACAATCTAGGTTTACAATAGTCAATAAAACTAAAATATTGTTATTCAAATCTGAATTTAATTTAAAAAAGGGTTTATRTATTTGCTTACAAATTGAACTTATAAATAGTTTATACATTTAAAAAAATTGGTTTTATATTATAAAACAGGTGGTAAAAAGTGATGCAAATAGTACATAATTTAAATATATATTAACAATTGCATTAAGTAATACTAAGTAGAACAACACATTAGTGTTTTGACTTAACAATGTACATAGTCAATCTTTAAAAATAAATATAAAATTGACAAACTAAATTTTTGTTGAAATTTACAGAATTGGTGTAGTTAGTCAAAAAAATTAATTGCCAGCATTTTAACTTGTATTTGTAAAACATTAGTTGATTGAAGTTGGAAACGTTAATATGTTAGCATTAAATTATGCAGTTATAATTGACATAGAATGTTTTGAAGTATACATTGATAGTTGAGTTAAATCTGATGGAATATAATGTTGGTAATTGTATGTAATGTTGTAGGTCGTTGTCGTATACGTAGATATTGTCCATTGTCAGAATAAATTGTGTTTATAAGTTTTGTTGTTACAATCATGTAAATTTATTGTTTATTTACTATATTTTCAAAATCAAGTTACATGTAGTTAGTTTGTACATTTTTAGATGGTAAAAAATAAGTTATCATTCAATTAAATATGTGTTGTGTTTCAGTAAAACAACCAATGGTTACTAAATAATATAAATTAATATTTGTCATACCACTCATATCCACAATAATTTATTCAAGTATCACAAGTTATTGGTTACCCACAGCTTGGGAATTGTTTCAAAAATCAATAAGAATTAAATTGTACATTATTATAGTAATATAATAATAATAATATAATAATATATAATAATAATATTATTATTATATGTTGTTTTACGCACATAATTGTTTAAATTAACTAATTAAAGTTTAAACTATGTGTTGTGATAGGTAATTAAAAATTAATTGTTAACCATGTCGTAATAATGTTTATGTTAAYAATGTAGGTAACTTGTGTCTTAATGTCAWTCGGTAGGTACCATGCAGTTTTTCTTTTAAGTTACAGAGGTTTTTAAAATCATAATGGTAATTGTATTTTAATATTTTGTTTTTCATAATTTACTTTTCTAAAATGTTTTATAGTCAAATAAAAAAGTACAAAATCAATAACCATGGCTGATATTAAAATATGTTATATACTCATAGTTTTTTTTTCATTTTAACATTTTTTAGTTACCTATTCAAGTACCTATTGCTTGATGTAATGTAATGTCGTATTTTGTGCTGTTGTATCTATGTATCAGTCACTGACGTTTGAAATCATACTTGAGGAATTCCACGTGGGAAAATCGTCTAAATATCTAAGGCTGATCTAAGTATTCGGAGAGAAATACAAATAAAAAGTAGTGAAGTGGTCGATATTTTTCAGAAAAAAAAATAAAAAATTAATGTTCTAAAAAATATAAGTATCTAAATTATTTTTTTTATTTTTATTATTATATAATTTAACATTTTTTTTTATACATATGGTAAGTAGTAATTACATATTTATTAATTATCACATGTCAATGAAAAATAAYATCASRAATAAAAATTAGTAATCTATTAAAATATACGATATGTTTTGTTATGTTCAGGTGTCATGTCATCTAATATGYTAACTAAAAAAATTAACCCCCCCCCCCCCAAAAAAAAAAAAGTTCAGGTACAAGTACGCCACTGTATCAGTGGCATGTAAAAAAGTAATTTTTGGGGTGGGCTATAAAAGTTAGCTACTATCATCTAGAGGCTTCATACAATATATTTAACAATTTGTCTGTTCTATTTGTCATTCAGTCGTCAATATGTTTGTATGGTATTGAGAGTTAGTACAATGCTATCTACAAAAAATAAATATTTAAGTACTTAATTACTGTTTTTTTTGAGGGGAGGGGCTACAATATAGTATTATAGTTAAAGTATATGTACCAATGTTTGTAATTGATTATTGTTTTTAGGTTATATTGTTTTCAATAAAATAGCATTGTTAGTGATTAGTTGTTTTATGAAATTAAGTGTGTTGTCAAGATGTTAGGGTTGGTATAGTAAAATTATTAACCACTTAGGAATTAAAGTGCTCAAACGAAGTCCCCCTTTCYATARGTTCAAAATGAAAAAAGGGTATTCATGTACTCGTGTTGTAAAAAGTATTGTTAATGGTATTATGTAGGTAGTATGTAATATGTTTAAAAACTTTAATAGATGTATTTAAATGTATTTATAAATAATTTATAGTCATTGTTAGAGAGTGTTTATAGTTGAAGTATATACTTTTATAGTTATATATAAAATTGTGCCCACATATAGTTTAACACATAATATTTTTTATTATACTCAAAGTTTGTTAAAATATTAAAATTAAAATGTATATTATCAATGTATTAGGTATTTACCCCAAAATAATATTGTACTAGCTGAGATTTATAAAGAAATTATGATTTTAATCAGTATAGTCATGTTAATTGTATAAATGTATAATAGTATTGTGTAGATTGTAGATGTATTGAACAAACTAAATTTTTTTGTAAGTATACAATTGTCCCTAAGTAGTTAAGTTCAGAGTTTCCTACATATTTAAGTTAGGTTATAAATACTAACTTTTATAATAAATTATAAGTATAATATATGCATGTATGTATCATGTATGTTTGTATATTTGTTATTTGTATGTAGGTATCTACATTGCATCAATATGCCATGTACTTATGTATATTTTATGTAGGTATGTATGTATGTATTTATGTATATAACATGTAGTTACTWATGTTAYTAGTTAGGTTTGCATGTACATTGTATTTATGCATAGGTCAATAGACGTATATTATGTATAATTTAATATGTGTTTGTTTCTAGGTATGTGTATAAATTATATCAAAATATATACCTGTACGTTTATATCAATGTATAATATGGAAGGTATTTGTTTTTTTAAATTTTTTATTTAAAAAACAATATTATAAATAGGTAGCATTAATTTTTTGTTACTTATGGTTTACCTTTTGTTAGTTTTTCAAATGTTCAGTTGAGTTGAGTACATATCTGTTTATTGTAAATGTAATAGTTAAGTTAAAYRTATTATTACYTATTTCCTAAGAACCTAATTTCTGGTTTTCATAGAAATTGTCAAAATTAACTTGCACTTATGTAGCAAATTGGTTGTTAGATAGTTATTTAGTGTCGGGAATGTAATGCACTATAAATACAAAAAAAAATTATTTTATGCCTAAAAATATAAAAATAATGCACTTCTTATTTTAATTTTAAACATACCATATAATTATTATATGTATTAAAGTATAGACATATGAATAATGTAGGTTGTTGGTATAAATGTATAGTAATATTAAGTATGTCTTATGTCTATATATATATATATATAATAGGTACCCATTACCTTTATTCTAGTATTATAGTGCCTACAAAACAAAGCATCAGTTGTGTGTACTAAGTTGTCTTAAAATAACTTGATTCTTGACAGCCGTTACWATTTAGATATACCTTATTTTCTATAACTTAATAAGGTAGGTARGTATTTTATAAATTAAAATAATAAAATAAAATATTAAAATGAGTCACCTTCTTTTTTAAATGTTATGTTTCTAAGTTGTAATCTGTAAGTTAAGTTGTGAAGTATATTTTAGTTTGTAGGTAYTAATTTTATTATTCAAACTTGACTACTTGAGTTGACATTTCATAGCTCTTTATTCTGGCTCTGAAGTAGTCTAAATAGGTACTTTCATACCTATACAAATATAACTGWAATAAATGAAAATTATGTCTTATAGGCACCTACATCATTATTGCCTAAAAGTAGATATTATGTCATAATGTTTGTATTTATTTTTATAATTGTCACGATAATTCGACACTGCCAATTTCAAATTTGTATAAATAGAACACTGCAGGTACTTTCTGCGTGGGTTGATATTCGAATATTATGAGTATTATATTATGTTAGTTGTTGGGTAGGTCGTAAGTAAGTACTAGTTATWAGTCAGTTTGTGGCATGTAGGTGCCTACTTAAAATTGAAAAATGTATAATTCTATGGTATGGTATGAATAACCGTAATGTTTGTTTGTAGTTAGGTACTATTGTTAGTACTTACATACTTGGCTGCCACTTGTTACAGACTGATTTTATGGTTTAGGAAATATAATACCTACAAGTAGTACGAGTGTAGRMMRTGTAGTTTTTAAATAGTTATTAGTTAAGCCGATGGATTTGTACTTTATCATTAATATATTTTCGTAGATTTTAAAGATTAAACTCATTAAAAATAAAAATACTTAATAGATTTGTTATACCTACTTATATGTAGGTACACTTTAAGAACACGTCTTTTTTTCCTGTTTGTATATAGGCATTCATTGTCGTCGGTTAAAGTTCAAATGTTAYGTTTAAATATAGGTAATATTATGTGACTATTTAGGTAGATATATAATATTATATACCTACCTATGTATTGATAAGGTACATTTTATTTTATTTATTTGTTCAGGTATTTAGTTTTTAAAATTCATAACATTTTGTTAAGTAAGTACCTACATTTGTATAATAAATAATAAATAATAATATTTTTGTTAAATATAAAAATTTAAATAATTTTGAGTA